TATTCTATTCTTCCAGGAATTTTCACCTGAAGTTATAACTTTTGATTTCATTTTCATATACTATAGATATCATTACACATATTCTTTCATTGTTCCTAAGTGGTTAGAATTGGTGAGAAATAATCATTTCTACCTCATAGAGAAATTGATGCAGAGAAAGATATGTTCAGCCATTTAATAGCCTCAATCTATCAGAAATAAAGACAGGTTTCTCCAACTTCTGACCTTAAGACCTCTTGACTATGACTATATAGCTCGGCAAGAGGATGGGGCAGAGAAGAGGGGAGAAACCCTAGTCTTGTGAGAATTCTTTGTGAGAATTCCTGAGGAATTGTTGAATCATTTATTTTGCAGATATGGAAATACTCTAACTTCTCAACATATTAGTAAAAAGTCTCAAAGAGGACAAAATTGGTTGAGATTCCAATTTGTACAGCTCATATTTCTGTCCAAAAACCCAATTAAGCACATCATGTTGAAATCATGAAATCATTTCAGGAGCTGTATATGGCTTTTGAGAATAAGAAAAAAAAGAAGAAGTTTGGCAGTAAATAAGGGAATTTCCTCGAAGTTTCTGAATGCTTATATTATTCTCAGAGTAAGTGTACCAATAGGGCACTTGGAACTTGTCTGTTTTTCTGGGGAACTTGTTTTATTATATGCATGGGAAAAGAGCGAATTTTTATTTGGAGAAAGCTATGAAATGAACAATGGTCATCTGGTGGTTAGAGAGAAGCTGAGTGATTTCTAAGTTAAGGTTTTTCTCAGCATGTTTTACGTGTGCACTCTAATGAAAATGACCTCAGAACTATCTTTCTAGGCAACAGCAACACTTTCAAGGATTGTGCTCTAAGTACATGATATTCTAGACTGTCAACAGCAACTGTCTTCATTGCTGTTCTTACCTCTGTTCCATCACTGTGTCTGCCTCATTCTTTATACAGAAATTTTCTACTCTTCTCCCTTAATCAGAGTAAAAATAATTATTTCCCTTCTGCATTCTTGCTTTTAATTTACTTAATAAATCTTCATTCACTGATTGGATAATAAAATCCATTTTTGCATAATGAGTATTACCAAGTCACAGAGCAATATGGCATCCTGTATTCTGGGGACATGCCATTCGTTGTCCAATGTGCTTATAATCTTTTCTATAGAAATAGTAATAGAATTTACCATTTTCTATTATTTTTTCTTTTTTTCATTTTCCCGATTCCTAAGCAAAGTAATTTACCTAATTAGAAAGACTCTGAATCATATCCTGCCTTTTCAAATTTCTGCTTGAGCTATACTTCTAAGTTTTGTTATTTTCCAGATGATTATCTACTGGTTGTAGTTACACTTATTACCCTGATTGTCTATTTCAGCTTAAAGGTTAATCTTAAAATTTACACTTTCCAGACAACTATTTTTTTCATATTATACCACAGAATAAAATATATAATATATATCTATGACATGGATTTGTGTTCAAATCCACGAATTCGTGTTTTCTTTCCTCTGCTAGAGGATGACTGTTTAGAGAAGACTCTGTGCCTTCCCTATATTTATGATTTGAATAATGCTTAATACAGAATTTTATAAAGAGTGTTTGCCTATAAAAATATTATGTTTCCAATCTTACAGAAAGATAATTACAGAGAGGTGTAAGACACAGCTTCGGCTTACATTTTCAGATTATGCACATTTGTTAATCAGAGCCAGAAACCAGGATAATGGAAGAGTTTGGCAGTTCCTGGAAAATAATTCCAATCAACATAATAGTTAGCTAAAGGTGAGGGCTGTTACTGGTTCAATTATTTTTTTAAACCGAGGACTATCTTGGGAATATGCTAAAGCATTACATAAAAGCATATTTACTCTCCTATTAACTCTTTAATCTTTCTTCTCCTCTACCTCCTCCTCTGCTCCTATTTCCCCTCTCTTTTTTTCTCTGTGTTAATTACAGTGTCATACTGAATAATTTTTCAGTTCTGTTCTCCAAATTATAGAAATGAGCCATCAGTTTTGGAAATGAAAAGTGGAAAGCATTAAGCATTAAAGCATAGTTATTATCATATTCCTTGCTGTAGCTGCTGTGCTCCTCACCAACAGCCCACTTGATTTATTTCCCTAGAAAGTTGAGAAACGTGGCAGGTGGCTCTACAGATCTCATTCTTACCTAAACTCTCACAAGAGCCAACAATCCTCTGTAATACTATTATGCTTAATAATTGTGTAGAGAAATAACCAGCTTACTTATATTTTCAGGTTGAACTATATCTATTATATGCAGAACACATTTAAGAACTTTTCCTCTCAATACTGTATTATAAAATTAGAGTCTTTATTTTGCTTTTGAGTGAATGTATGTTATATTAGCAATAGAAGAAACCATGTTGTTTAACTGTATCTCTAACAGTACAAAGAAGAAAAGACACAGGTGTACACAGTGGCTTGTTGAAAGCATAGGTAGAAAGCAATTACTTACACTCTTTCTTTAGAACTATGATACTTCTTTGTAATATAATTAAATATCTTAAAGGAATAGTCCTCCCTTTCCTGAGAGATGTCAGTGATTTCTTCCCTTGGCTTTTGGAGCTTTATTCCTTTACTTTTTCCCCCTTGATTTTAGTGAAAATTTCCTCCTAGTGGACAGGAACAGCCTCCCTGGGTCTGCATGGCTAACCGGAAGATTAGAAGTTGATTTGACCTCAGGGAGACTGGGGAAGGACAAAGCTAGTTTGTTCAACAGAGAAGGAAACCTCCTGAAGGTTGAGGTTGAGATATATTCTCAGCCCTAGCCCCCTTTTCTATAATCTTTTCCTTGGGGCCTAATGATCTCATGCTGCACTGTTCTGTGGAAGAAAAACAATTTTGCTACCTCTTTCACAAGGATTATGGAATGTATTACTCTTCATGGATAATTTACTATTTAAAAGGTAATACCATAACATTTCATTCTACCACTGTTAGGCAAGAGTGGAATACTGATTGGAAACATGCACTCAAATTGCCACTGCTCTTTCAAAATTCAGGGTATTTCATTGAACGTGTGACTATCACGAAATATCGTTAATTAAGTCCAATGAAAAGTTGTGTGTGTGTGTGTGTGTGTGTGTGTGTTACTTTCAATTCAGGAAACTCAGAGCACAATTCTATCCAGATTCTGACAACAGGGAAATATGCGGCAAAGCTGAGCAAGGCAGCCACTGGTGATAAAAGGAGCATTTTGAAAATTCCTTTAATTCCTTGAATTAAAGGAATTTTGTTTTTTCCTTGATTGAGTAATTGGTGCATACCTTGACCTACCCCCTCTCACTGGCAAAATATATTAAACAACTTCACACATTGGGTAATAGTACGGGACAATGATTCTTGAGAGAAAGGGAACAAACAAGGTGAGTCCTACCATGAGACGTCTACCTTGAGGCCCTTTCTAGATTGCTGAAAAAGGAACAGGAATCCAAGCAGAGGCAATGGCTTCATAAATTACACCAAGGAGCCAAAATCAGAATTAATGCAGGATGAAAGTCTTTAATTTATATAGCAAAGCACCAGTGAGAAAGCAGCTGTGCAACAAAGAGTTGCAGAAACTTGACTCTGAATTTTAAGCTGGGATGGGATGACATTATGAGACCAGGCAAAGGACTAAAAGGAAACTGACAGATTTTAAGAATTCACTCAAGGTTGAGAGGCTTTCAAGCTCTAAGTACCCAGAGTTGACAGGCCTCATTAAGATGATCAATAGAAAGACGGGGGGGGGGAGAGAGAGAGAGAGAGAAGAGAGAGAAGAGAGAAGAGAGAAGAGAGAAGAGAAGACACAGGATATCAGGAACAAATAAAAAGTTATCACTTGAGATCCCATCAATATTGAAAAGGTCTTAAGGGAATATGAATAATGTGATGCAAGTACCTTTGATAACTTATTAACAGACAAATTCCTTGGATAACATAAATTATTAAACCTGACACAAGATGAAACAAAGTCTGAGTAGGAGTCCGTGAAGTTACTGTATTTTTAGGTGGTACTTTAGGCTCTTTATTCTCCCTGGTTTAGGCTAAGATAGTGGTGTTGCTTTCTCTAACAAAGCTCCGGCCATAGTATCGGATGCAGAAGAATCAGATAAAACAGAGATGGTGTTTAGATATAAAGGCACCAAAGTAGAGACTGTGGAGAGAGAATAACACAAGAATAAAAAAAAGGAAAAAAGAAAATCCTCATGAAAAATCGAAATAATTAAGTAAAGCTTTTGAGGGAGACTCAAAGTAAAAGCAGGAGAATACAGTAGCTTGGAATCAAGGCATTATGGAAGAATTCTCTTGAGAGTCAAGAGATAATTCATGAAATAATGATGGAAAAGAGGCAGGTGAATCCCTTAAGTAAAGGACTTGGTTTTGAAAATGGTAACATTATAGCCTTCACATTTTTTTTTTTTTGGTGACAAATTTGAAAGAAAAGACAGAGGAAGTAAGTTAAAAATTTCATACTATAAAAGAAGAAAATCAACAAAGCTAATGGTTAACTGTTTAAATCTTTTCAATAAAATAGTTTCAGTGTAGGAGAAGTATTAGGAATCATTTTGGAAATGCAATGACATGCTTTTAGGTAGACAAGGGAGACCAGAGACCCCTTCCTGCATCTGCTGTTTCTTGAGTACCTTCAGCTCAAAAATATCAACACACACATTTTGGGTGACATGTTCTTAACTCCTTCACTGTGAGTATTCTGTTCAGGGAATCAGAAGGCTGAAATCAAAATATAGGCTGGTCTGACTTCTTGTCTAGAGGGTCTGTGGAAAAACCCCCAAAACAGGTTCATTCTTGCTTTTGGCACAATTCAGTTTCTTGTGGTTTTAGAACTAAAATCGTTCTTTGCTGTCCATCAGTCAAGGATCACTCAGCATCTAAAGGCTGCTCACATCCTTTGATATATGGCCCTTACATCTTCAAGATAGAAATGCAGCCATGAATTCTTGTGTTTCTAATCTCTGACTGCAACCTTCTTTTGTTTTTTATATATCCACAGCTTAATGGGGATTGTGGACCTGCTGAAAGCTCTATGCTACATTCCAAAGTCCACAGTAAGTCATTTAAGTTTATAGCTCTCCAGGGTGATTTAGTTTGCCCAGTTACTGTGTACATTTGCAGCTGAAGTGCAGCTATACCAATGTGATAATTATGAAGGATGGAAGAAAGAATCCTCTGAGTTGATATTTCTTAAAGAAATCGATGTTGTATATTCACTACTCTCTTGATCACCTTTGGATACTTATGATCCAATCTTTGAAAAATCATGACCATTTTTTTCATTTTTTAAATTCTTTTTTCATTTCATGTCCTAGGAACATCATACAATAAATATTTGTCTTTTTAATACAAACTGTCCCATCTGTTTTAACTTTTACTTATGACTCAAACTTTTAGGCATCATTTAAGCCAACTATGTCAAGGATCATTTGGATTTCTTTTTGCTTATTTCCTATCTAGTGACGGCTTATGAACATGCAAAGATATTTTATTTCTGTTTGCTTCTTTAATCTGATTTTTTGGGGAAAAATTATTTTTTGTTGAATAAAAGATTTTTGAGTTGAGCTGGATTTCACTAGTAATCTTATGAGAGCTTAACTAACTTATACTATCCCTTTCTATAATAAAGATATAGGTTAAAAACAGTAATTATAAAATGAAGGGCTTACTAATTTTAATAAAATTTTATATTATATACGTTGATAAAAATAATGTGATTTTCTATTTTTGTTTTTTAAAATAAGAATTTCTGATTTTTAAATTTAGAATATACCATCACTAGATACTTTTTAGAATTTAATTAGTGTAACTAATATCTAACCCTTTGATTTGTCATTTATATAATTCAATCATCCAAATATTAGGCAAATATCTCTAAAATTTGGCAATAAAGCTAGGCTTTCCGTGTCCAATATATTAGCTAAGTCCCTGAATTAGTATTGTTTAAAGTCATCTGTCTTTTTTGAGACAACTCTGGCTGAAATGAAACATTTTCTGGTGAACAACTTTCTGGACTTTATGACATTAGTACACTCTGTACTCAGTTTATCATAATAATTCAAGGAATTTAGCATTAGGGAAATGATTGGAAAACTTCAAAATCATGCACTAAAACTTTTTTCCAGGTAGTCACTTTAATGGTATTATCTCTTCAAGTCAACATTTAGTGTATCCCACCTGCCAAATATGTTTATCATTTTTAAAATGGAAGACTGTTTAGATTAAGTGAACTGAAGAATGTTCTTCATCTTGTTGTAATGTCACTGACCAAGGATTAAGAAGGGGTTTTCTTTCCAGGTGAAAGATCTTCTTGGACTGACTCTCCTTATTTCATTCCTCAGTGACATATTTATTTCTGGTGTTTCCTGGACTTCCATTCTTCTGCACTACTCCCTGGATGGTCTCATGTTTTACTTTCTTAAGAATGTGGATTATTGTGTGGGGCTTGGTATACGGGTAAGTAAAAGTAGGTAAAAATTTTAGAAGCAATCTCATTTTGCAAAATATGTGCAATGCTCAAAAATGCTAGGCCCAATATCTCTGAAAGGTAAGAATTTTAATTTCCAAATAAGAAAATTGATTTTATTCCATTGATTTTCTTAGGAAACACTAACTCATCATTATCTTACATCATCATTCCCTGGAAAATCTTGCTTTCATTTTCCTTTTGAGAAACACAAAATACTCCATCTATTCTGTTTACTTAAGTCAGGTAATAATTGGAGAAGTAGAGATACCTATCTCTTGTAAGGACCAGGAGAAACGAAACAGATACAGAGCTAAAAATTGTTTTTCCTGCTTTTCTGAGTCAGGTCTCTATGGTTTAATTTTATTACTTTGACTGAAATGCAAATTCCCAGGATACCAGACACACCCATTTTTCCAACACAAGTACAAAAACAAAATTGAAAGCCAACTACTCAGTTGACTTTTTTAATTGGCTTACAGTTTGATTGATCTTTTCCCCTTTCTTGTCTATGCTTCCTACTAGAGTTTACTTGAATCATCAAAATCTGTCTTTCTTTAATGGGAAAAACAAACATAATAAGGGGAAATTTATGTAAGAGGCTTTCCTATGTAGATAGATGTCAAGTGACCAGAAGCCCCTCTTGCTGAATGCTCTGAACATCACAAGATTTTATCAATGTGCTTTATTGGTGATACAGCTGACCTTTACTGAAAGAAGGAAATGCAGAGACAGACTCATATCCAGCCCTTGGCTGCTGTTGGTCTTGTTTTCTTTTCTCACACAAGATTAAGGAGTAGGCTTACTTGAGATTCTGTATTCTGGCAAGCCCGTTGCTGAACTTGGCAGGAGCATTAAACTATCTTTATTAGAAGCCATTGTAGAATTCATAACCTTCCCAACCTGGCTGCTTTCTTTTGTTAACCTCCCAGAAAGGTGTGGCTTAAAAAAGAAGTTGATTCTGGGGTGTAAAGATTAATGATAATGGTAAGTCTTGTTCTAGAAATGTATATGGAAGTCTTCATTTAAATAAAAACAGATCAATCTGTGTCTTAAAAGTTAACCTACAGAATTTCTATAAAAAAAAACTAGAGAATTTTTTTAATGAAAAGACTTTGACCATACAGGAACACCAGTGGATTTTCAACAGTGCTGATATATTCCTTGTGAATGGTGAAAATACTTCAGCTTTTTTTTTTAAGATGCACATTGTGATAGTTATAATGTGACATTCTGTTAGCATTTTTTAGAGCAAAAGTTTGAAATTGCTCTCTTAAAATTGCTTTCAGTTCCAGAAAACTAGCTTAAGGGAATCTAAAAATCTCAAAAGAGTTCTACAAGACTGAGCTTGCCATTCAGGCATAGGCCTCATTATCAAGAAAAAATACAGACAATTAGGACATTTTTAAATACCAGTGAGAGAAAGTTTAACATGTGTACAGGATCAGCTTTCCTAAACCTGGATCTTGCTTTTATATCATGAACTGAGGCTTAAAGACTCCTCACAAGTGAAAGGTTAGGTACAACTGACAAATCCAGAAGCTTATCTCTCTATCAAGGTGAAAGTAGGAGACAACGTAGATGAATCCATAGAGACTAATAAAGAGATGATAGCATCTTTTAAGGATGGTTTTGAAAGCCATAAATGACATAAATGTATAAATGACAAGGGATAGAGTAAAATAAAAATCCTAGAAATTGGGCTGGGGTTATGGCTCAGTAGTAGAGTGCTTGCCTAGCACATGGGAAACCCTGGGTTCAATCCTCAGCACCACATAAAAATAAATAAAATAAAGATATTGTGTCCATCTACAACTAATTTCTTTTCAAATTCTGGGAATCATACATTTTTCTGATAAATATGGTTTAAATGCCATTTTGAGACAATCACTCGGTAGTCAAATCATTGTTGATGTATATTATAATTGTGGATATGAATGCTTGATCTATCACGCATTTATTATAATATACATCAATTTATAATCAATTTATTATAATATACAACAATTATAATATACATCAATAAAGTTAAACTCTCCTATTTTATTGTTCACTAGCTTTTTGAGCTCCTATTCTGATTCCATGTTACATTGATAATTTTTTAAAAAATATATTTTTAGTTGATAATGGACCTTTATTTTATTTATTCATACATGGTGCTGAGAATTGAACCCAGTGCCTCACACATGCTAGGCAAGTGCTCTTCCACTGAACCACAACCCCAGCCCTACATTGATAATTAACCTGTGGATTTAGTGTACAAATGATTAACCATATTATGTCCCTTTAAGTCTCAGATTATCTAGGAATGCATTTTTTTTTCAATTGTGTAAAACAGCCTACTGAAAACACAAGTTAGATCCCAGTGCATTCACAGTATCTTCTTGCATTGAATTGTTGAGAGGCACCACACCAGAGTACAGCCCTGTTTTTTTAAGAGGGTAATTTGGGAAATGAAACAGCTTCAATACTCTGCCTGTATTCTTACAGCCATTGTATACTGTAAACAATTTTGTTTATTAAGTCTTAGGACAGAAACTTCACTGAATGGCTGAACAAACAAAACAGCTGGCTGGGCATTTTTTTCTTCCAGTTGCCCTTATTAAGGATATTTTGACTTGGAAGCGGATCCTCTTAGGTATCTGCCTCTGTCAAGAACAAATGAAGTTGGAGCAAACTTTCAAAGATCTGAGAAGTGTCTGATTGCTTTTGTAATGAAATCTTGGCTATTTTGTTTTGTTTTGTTTTTAGGTAATTGCTCTGGTATAGACTTCCCTTTCACATAAATCCCCACAAATTAAACTTTCTGTGCGATAAAGAAACCAGAAAAGAACACCTCTGTTTGAGTTTCCTCCATAGAATAATGAATATTTGTTTTATATCATGAGAGGCTGACAGGTTTGGGCTCTGCTTCCAGATGTCCAGATGGTTTAATTTAAAAAAAAAGAAAAAGAAGAATACATGACATATTTTCTTTTTCTGATCCAGAAAGGAACAGCTTTCTGTCAACTTGTAAGTTATGTGTAAATAAAAAAGGCTGATAAATAAAAAACCCCCAAAACCGAGCAGATAAAGGCACTCTGCCCAGGCGGGGGGAAAGGCATATAATAAAAATAACTTCTTTTAAACAAAGACTGAAGTGTTTATATAATTTACCACAGTTGGAGTTTATACATAGTTCTAGCCTCTGAGGTAATCTCAACTCCAGTACACTTGCAAGCAGCTAGTGTCCAAAGTCTTCATTATATATTGAGAATATCATGTTCTCAGTTAAATCTTAAAAAAAAAGAAAGAAACAGTATGAATAATTAAGTTAAGACCATGAAGGCTTACCTAAGGACAGATAGCCACCCACACTCACACACATACAATTTGGAGTGAACTTGATTTATAATTATATAAAACTCCTTAACCCCTAAAAATAAAAACTTTCTTTTCTAATATGAAATTCAGTATTTAAAAATCCTCTTTACCCTGGGTTCAATCCTCAGCACCACACACACACACAAAATCCTCTTGATTTTACCTTTCAGCAAGTGTGTGGAATGCGTGTGTGTGTGTGTGTGTGTGTGTGTGTGTGTGTGTGTGTGTGTGTAGTTTATAGACTTGTGCTCATTCTATAACATCTGCCATAAATAAGAAAGACTGAGTTGTTGAGGATTTTGCAGTTTCATTTTGGCTAGATCAACAATTTAACAAAATCTATTTTTTAAGAGGAAAAATGAAATAGAAAAAATACCTAAAATAGGAATTTTACATGAAAACTTAAAAATGCAGAATCATACACCATACTACATGAAACCACCATGAAAGTTAAAATATTAAAAGGACATCCATTTGACCTAGGAAATAAATTCTTCTTTCCTTTTAATTATAAACTTTTGTATATAGTAATTCAAATATGTTCATTAAATTATTGAATATTCTTAGTACTTGAAGATCTAATGTGTGAAGATTCTCATGCTCCTTGACTTATATTGGGGTTACATCCCAACAAATCCATCATAAACTGAAAAGATAAAAAAATAAAAAATGCATTTAATATACCTAATCTACTCAAGCAACACAACAACACAGAACACTGTGGAATGTCGATTTTTTACCTTCGAGATTCACAAGGTTGAGTGGGAGGTGTGGTCCTCTGCCCAGTATTATGAGTATCTTACCACATGCACTACTAGCCTGGCAAAAGTTCAAAATTCAGAACTTTGGAGCACAATTTGTGCTGAATGTGTATGCTTTCATACTACTGTAAAATGGAAAAACTGTAAATCAAATAGTAGTAAGTTAGAAACTATGTATGTATATAAGTACATACAAACACACACACACAGAATCTTTAAACATGAGGGAATATATTCTGACAATTGAACTAAAAAGTTCGTGAATGATTTTTTAAATCACATTTTACATGTATTTATAATAGCAAAGAGTCAGGCCTGCCAAATAATTTCAGCTTTGGATGAATTTGTTACCATGAGCAAAGTAATTCTACTGAATTTCCCTGACCCTTTCATGGGAGGGGTAGGATGGACACAGGAGCCAAGGGCAGGCTGGACCAGGGACCTCACAGTCTCGTTGCTGATTTGCATTTCTGAGCTCAGCGTTAGCTCTGTTGGGATAGTTGTAAATAGGGCACAGACAAAAATAAAAATAAAATAATTCAAATACAAAATAAGACTAAAATAAAATTGAGCCACGTGTGTAATCCCAGTGATTTTAGGAGGCTAAGGCAGGAGGAATACAATTTTCAGGCCAGTCTCAGCAACTTAGTAAGACCCTTGTCGACTTAGTAAGACCTTATTTATAATGTTTTTTTTTTAAAGTACTGGGATGTACTTAGTGATAAAGCATCCCTGGGTTCAATTCCCAATACAAATAAATAAACAAAAATAAAATAAATTATTTGAGAACTTTAAACTCAGAATTTATTCTAAATGCATTGTATAAATACAATTTCTCTACATACATACTATTAATTTTATTATTCTAAGTCTTTATATTAAAATTTTGAGGTAAAAAGAAGTTATAATTTATAGTAAGCAGAAATTCATTTATTCAGTGCCACCCAGACCTGGCTTCCAGACAAAGGTTTTGATAAGACCCGCCTTCTAATCTACACATAGAGAAACTTACTGAGACTTGGCAAAGGCTGTGTAGACAAGTGAATAAACCTAATGTTAGACTCAAAGTCAGCAGTTTTCTCCTCAGGTAACAATTACATAGGGAAAAGCAAGGAGCTAATTTTAAAAAAATCAAAATTGGCTCTGTCACAAAGGAGCAGAGACCGTACCTAGAAGGACAGCTATGTTAACTGGTCTGACCTTTGCCTCCTTTGGTAATTTTCTGAGGCCTTAGGGCTCCGAGGTAAATACCTTATGAATTGGCCAATGTGTAACCTAGGGAAATGAACTTTGGACAAGCAAGAAGCTTAGGTTCTGGTCTCAGGTGTTGTCAAGTGACTTTAAGAATGCCATGGGATTATTAGGCAATCTATTAACGGCAAAAACAAAAACAAGACGCTAAATGCTTTAAAAAATGAAAGACATTTTAAGTTCAATATACCATCATTGTTGTTATTACTATAAGAAAATAAAACTCATTGCTACAGTCTGAAAATATTTCCTCTGGAGACGAACTTTCCCAATATTCAAAGAATTGGTCAATTTCTTTGAAAGTCTACAGAAGCAGAGGGGAAGTGGGAGGAGGTTTGCCCATAGGTCATCTAAGAGCTGCTTCATGTTACAAAGTGGGAAATGATAGATACTACATGTATTTCAGCACTCCTACATTTTATATTCAAATTTGAAACTTGTAATTGAACAACATATACTGTTCATACTTTTTTCCCATTAAAAGTTACCTATTGGGGGGTGGAGGGTGGAACAAGCTGGGCTTGGTCCATTAAAAATATTAAAAAGTAAAAAAAAAAAAAGAAGTTATCTACTAATGTAGCTAGAAAGGTAAGAATAATAATAAAAGGTAATGGATCTTTTAATATTGAAAAGTTGGTTTTACGAAATAGAAATGTATTTAGTATTTTTCCATATAGATTCTTGTGGATTCTGTAGTTTTACTTTTCTCTCTCCTGGATTGTAGTACTAATTTCTGTGGTGGGACTGGGGCTGTGAATAGGGAATAACAAGAAAACCTAAGTCTTTGTGGTTACTCTGGCTTCATAAACAAATTCTACCAAGCTTCATCTATTTCTGCCAGAACCCCTGTGGAGGTAGACAGGCTGCTGGCACATGAACTTATCTGAAACCTAGAAGTCTAAACGGTGTAATTTAAAATATTTACTGATTAAACAAAGGAAAAGGTCAGAGTCTCAAAAATAGGAGCATTTGAACTTATTCTACTGATAAATTGGTTTCCTTGTTCAAATGAGGCTTAGATGGTTCTCCTTTCTTCCTGAAATCAAACCATAAAACCAGACAAATAGAGCCACATTTTTCAATTCTAAAAATTGGACCCAGTATTATTTTTCCTTTATATTGAATTTTATACATCAAAGTATTTTCTAAACATTATATGATCAAAATAAAATATTAAGCCAATATAGAGTAGTGTGTATTAATACATTACCTCTCTCTCTTACATTCTCTCATTTTTATCATAATTATAAAGAAATTAAAACACATTTTAATGAGTTTTATTCTGTAGGGGGAAAATATCTCTCCTAAGTGATTTTATAAAGATTTTCTTTTGAGCTACACCACGATACTTGGAAGCTTCTTCAAAATCAAATAATCCTTCATTTGATGTGTTAGAGAAACAGCCAAAGATGTAGTAGATAGATAACAGAATGGAAGGAAAGAGAAGGGCCTTATTTTTCTTGGAAAAGCAAAGTTTATTAAATAAAAGTTGAACCCGCTACAGTCTATCGAGATGCAATTCTAGTACTGAATCATTGTTTTTTTTTTTTTTTTTCCCCAGTGAAACAAGTAGAAGGTTTTCAAAAGCTGGTTCATTCCCAGTTTGGATGGAAAATGCAACAGAGAAGTCATGCAAATATCTTACAAGGAGAGATTGTCAGGAAAATCAATGCTGACAGGAGAGAGTGGGGTGAAGGAAGGGGGAGGGAGTAAGGATGCAAGTCATAAGGTTTGAAATATGGCATCTATTCAGGTTTGCAGCAAGTTCTTGGCCTGAACACTCTTCTAGTTCTAGAACATGTTCTTATTGCGATGCCAATTGTTGGTGTCAGGGTTCATACTTATATAAATAAGTAGTCCAAGCATTAGGATGCAATTTATCAACATTCTCTACACAAGACTGTCACTGGGGGCGGATTTCATAGTAACTGAGGTTGGTTTGGGGATAATGCTTTTACTCTACTACTATTCCCTCCCTTCAGCCTGTGTTTATGATCTGGTTCCCACCAGAACAGCTTCCTCTGTAAGCTATCATGGTCTAGAATATTCTTTTCTATGTCTTTATTCCACCTAATAAAATTTGTATTTGATTTTCTTGGGACTCTTACCTAGGCTGGAGTTAATCTGAAACACGAATGTCTTCTGAGTTGTTTAGTAACAAATGATAACTTCTGTCTTGCCCATCTAAGATTATAATTTTGAATTTTAAGATCTGTCAAAGTTTGGGCTGATGAAGCTGTAGCTCAGCGGAATAGCATTTGCCTAGCTTGTGTGAGCACCACATATAAATAAATAAATAAAGGAATTGTATCCATCTGAAACAAAAATAAAAAAAAGATCTGTAAAAGTTTCATCTTGAAAGAATGACTAAAGTTGGTTATTTTATAGTGAGAAGTTGGTTAGTACAAAGAAAAGTTTAGAACAAGTCCTGTTCAAATGGCTCATTCCCCTTTCTGGATATATTTTTCTATCAATACTTTTAAAGTTGTCATAAAAAATTTATATAAAGCCCTTGAATTGATACTATATATATACAATATAAAAATGTAGCTAGTCTTAATTAACTTACTTTTTTTTCACTTGATATTCATTTTTTTAATTTAAAAATACTTAACTGACAAATTGAAAATTGTATGTATTCAAATTATAAAACATTATGATTTGCTATGACTATACATTGTGTAATGATTACAATTATCAAATTAATTAATACATCTGCTATCACTCATAGTTACCATTTGTGTGTGTGGGGGTGAGGACACTTAAAATCTGCTTTCTAATCAAATTTTAAGTAAACAACACAGTCTTATTAACCATAGTCACTTGTTATACATTTAATACCCAGAACTAATTCATTCTAGAGCTGAAAGTTTGTACTTTTTGATGAACATTTTCCAATTTTCCCCCTAGCCCAGTCCCTAGCAACTACTATTCTACTCTCTGCTTCTATGAGTTAATTTTTTTAAAATTTTACATGTATGAAGTATTTGTTGTATTTGTGGGGGTTTTATGCTTTTGGCTTATTTCACTTAGTTTACTGTCTTTCAAGTTCATTGATATTGTAGCAAATGGTAGGATTTCCTTCTTTTTATGACTGAATAATATTCCTCTGTGTGTGCTATGTGGGTATATGTATGTGTTACATGTTCTCCACACTTATTTAATTTTCAGATCTTTGCTATTGTTGAATAATGTTTCAGGTAACATGGGGGTAATTCAGGGATCTCTGTGAGATACTAATTTTTATTTTGGAAATATGCCTAAAAGTGGGATTTCTGGGCCTTATGGTAGTTCTATTTTAAATTTTCAAAAATTTTTATTCGTTTTTTATAATGGTTTTATGAATTTACATTTCCACCAACAGTATACAGGGTTTCCTTTTATTCACACCCTCCCAACATTTATTATATTTTCCCATTTTGCTGATGGTCTACTTAACAGGTGTGAGTTGCTATTTTATTGTGGTTTTATGTTTCCCTGCTGATTAGTAATATTGAGCATCTTTTCATGTATTTTTTTTAACCATTTGTATATCTTTGGAGGAATGCCTGTTTGCATTCTTTGCTCATCTTTTAAATCATATATCTATAATTTGCTATTGAAATGTATAAGTTTCATTTTTTTATTGACCTTCTATTAGATCTATGGTTTACAAATACTTTCTCTCATCCCATAAGTTGCCTTTTTGTTTTGTCAATTGTTTCCTGTGCTGTGCAGAAGCTCTTTCATTTGAAGTTGTCTCATTTGTTGATTTTTGCTTTTATTGCCTGTGCTTTTGATGTCCCAGCCAGAAAGAGTCATTGCCAAGACCATGTCAAGGAGCTTTTCCCCTATGTGTTCTTCTTTGAGTTTTATGGTTTCAGAGTTATTTAAGGACTTAATCCATTGTAAGTTAGTGTTGTACATGTATTAAGAAAAAGATCTAACTTCATACTTTTACATATTGTTATTCAATTTTCCCAGTAACAAGTTTTTATAACACTATATTTTTTTCCATGGTGCATCTTTGGTACCCTTCTCAAATATTAGGTGACTATATTTATACATCAATATTCATCTGATATTTTTGGATTTATATGATAGTAAATGAAAATGAATAGTTTTGACTAATTTTCACTCTATTCTAGTATTCATAGGTGCACCTTCCCAAATACTTCACATGTCCGTAAGAATGCTTTCTGTTGCAAGTAACAGACCTTCAACTCAAATTAGCATAAATAATAAACCAGATTTGTTGGCTCATATATATGAAAAGCCCAGGCATGTTTTGATTCAGGCAGTCTTTCAGTTTCCTATAATTCTCTTGGCTGTATTCTGTGTTCTGGTTTCATCTTAAGATTGGCTTCCATTATGTACACAAAAGAGTTGCCAAGAGCAGCCAACCAGAGCAACCAAATGTGGGTTGGTCTGGGTTTGGGTTAAAGACCCTATGGAACTACCTTTGTTTTAAGTAGGGTAAAATGATATAGCTTGGAGCTGAGATGGAGTCAATCCTTCAACAGTTCATGGCTATGTTATAGTGGGAAGGGATGTTTCCAAAGTAAGATCCTAGTACAGTCAGTGAGGAGCTTCAGTGTTGGAGCCAGGTACCTAGTGTGTACAAAGATGGTGCAGGCCCTAGTGTGCTGCCCTCCCCCACACCTAAAAAAAAATACCAAACAAAAAACCAAACAAAAAACACAGCCAAGTGTAGTTAGTGAAAGTAGAATAAATTCTGTGTATATAGCCAAATATTTTTAACCAAACTCTTTTTATGTTGAGTTGATTCTTTCAGTCTGCATAAAGTATAAATATTAAAAGGTCTAGCGTTTTTTGATTGCCAAACAGAAAAAATTTATGTGACTAATATCTGGTTCCTTTCTCCTCTATAGTAACCAAAGGACAGTAACCAAATCCTTACTCCTTTCTTAGAACTGGATATACACACTTACCCATATAAAAAGTTCTAATTACCATATAATTAAATGGCACTTCCAGGCCCCAACCATAAGAGGAAGTTCTGAAATGCCCTAGTTAACTTAAGAGGAAAAGGACCAAGATAAAACCCAGGCAAACTTTTGTATTCCACATGATTTTGTCTAAAATTTACAATGTTCATTCTAAGATTGAAGACAAGGAAAGTATGCTCATACACTTGAAAAAATAAAATTCTAAAGAAGGAATAAATTCAGTTATTATCCATAAATCAGCTTACTTCACCATGACATCTTACAGATTCTATTGCTACCATGTCTTTTAACAATAATTTCATGTCCTTATTATATGTCCTTCATTGTTGTTGCTTTCACTTAAAAGAAAGAAAAAGTAAGAGGAAATCTGTCTTCAATTTCTTCACGCCAGATGATCATATTTAAATAAAGACAACTAAGGGGTGAAAGCTTCAGGGAAGTATTTTCGTGCTAGGTGGTGATAATACAGACCTTCAGCCATCATACTCCAATCTCCCATATTATTGCCACCAGAGTCTCAAAAATATCTCTTAACCTTCGTCTGTTACCCAATATTCTTATTTGTACAATCTTCACTCATTTGCTTTTAGACCTTGTCCAACAAGTTGTTTCTTAAGAGCCCTTAAAACAGCTTACATATAAAAACATTTCCGGCTACTAATATGCAAATTAAATCACTGTGTCAATCTTAGAAAACTAAATGTCTGGCTCCTGTTTTATTGGCCCTGGCTGTGGGTCTTTTTTCACTTACAGGTTGTGAAGTTCAAATTTTAGAAAGGAGCAACAGGCACAGAGCTGACCCAAAAGGGCAGATATGGATGAAGCATTTTTGTGGAGAATGTGTGATAAAAGAGCAAGACTTTGCCTTTCTGAGCTGGCCAGGTTAAGAATTGGGAAATGTACATAAGAAAAATTTCATTTCCTTTTTTACAGCTGAGAATTAGGATCTCTTTTGTTTACCAATTAATTTAAGCAAAGGAAATATAATTCCATGAGTTTTAATGGTATTATATTGGAAAATTATGGGATTATGTTAAAAATCTATGGTATTATACTAGAAATCTATGACTAGCACCTTTTCCCTCATTCTCAAAGGCATTACAGGTTATGGAACCATCCCCCAAATCCCTTCTTCCCGTTTCTGCTGATAGGTTTGGAGACAGCCACCTTGCCTGAACTGGATCAACTGGATCTTCAAAAAGTTTGATAGTGGACACCTCTCCCTTATCACCTCTTCAAGGGTGCAATCAAGTGTTGGCTGAGGCTACAGTGTTACCTGGGTGCAACTAGGGAAGGGTTTGCTTTCTAGGTCATCCATACAGTTGTTGCTAGAACTGTTTCTCAAGGGTTGTTGGACTGAATGCCCCAGGCCCTCAACTGGATGTTTCCTGAAGGTTCTACTGAAGTCTTTGATACATGAACCCTAAAAGGGTAACCCACTTCCTCAAAGCAAGCAATCAGGGAAGAAAAGAGGTCACTCAAAGACACAAGTCAATTACAATCTTTTAAACATGGAATTGTGTGACTTTTTTCCTTATATGTTTACTTCAGAAACATAGTTGTGAGCTCTATGAAGGCAGGCACATGGCCGATTCATCTTGGGCTCACTGGTGTCTAGTTGAGTGGCTAGTCAATAAGTATATGCTAAATTGAATGCTACTCTATTGATGTTCTTGGAGTTCACAATGTTTCAAGTTAAATTTTAAAATTCACTCTATAAAATCCTATTCAAGATATCTGGACTATTTGAGTTTCCTAACAAATTTCTCTTATATTGGGGAAAACCACTCTTCTAGAAGATAACAGAGTACTAAATTAAGAAAACAACAAAAATGTTTGTCCTTTCTTTAGGTAGTGGGATGGGAAAGAACAGAAAAATATTTCATTTTCTTGTTTTTTTTTATATGTAGGCAAAAACATCATTAAAATAAGAGTTGTTAAAGATAAGCTGAAATATAACAGAGTTTATTAATTATGTGTTAAATTAAAGGAAGTTTAAAACAGTTATTTTTCCCCTTTTAACTTTTTTGTTTCAGGGAAAATTCTGATTGAAAATTACTGTGGGGTGACTCAAACTCTTCCTCTATTTATTATAAAATACTTAAGTGTCCAAGAGGATGTACGTGAAATAAGACGCCAGCATTTGCATTAGAAATCTCTGAAGCATGACCAGTCTTTAAAAGAAAAGAATAAGCTTTATCAGAAACTTCCGTTTCTATCCATTCTGGCTTTCTACTCATCAAACTGTATTTTTGTCTGTGCTTGTGCATGTGTGTGAAGAATTCCCCAAATAGTTATTTGGCTTGTTCTTTTTTTTTTT